AACAGTTTCATGAGCATCTGCTCGATGCATATCATTTGTATCAGTGATAAATATTAGTTGATTAACATTGTGCATAAATATCTGGCCTTCGTTTGTCTTTAACCAAGCTAACGCATCAGCACAATCGTTGCATGATTTGAAACGAATAAGACGTATTTCATGCGTCTCACTTTCTATCTTTTTCACTGATATATTTCGAGTTATTGATGATCCAATGATTGTTTTAATTAATTTTTTTCTATTTTGAACTAAATCATTTGCATGTTGAAAAATATTTATCTTCCTCGTTCTTGATTATATTTTTTCAAGGTCTTTTACATGCTGATATTGTTATTCTTGTTGATGACGATGACTGATATGAATTAGACTATGTTGAAGACGACGTTGTTTACTCTTTTGGCAGAGTTAGTAGAAAAAATGTGATTGATCACGTTGTTGTTGTACATGTTGAGAACCGTTAAGACATTGATTTTCAACTGTCCTAATCGAAATTAATCGAAGTGAAGCATACATTTCGTTGTCAACATGCATGTGATGCACCTTTTCTTCACTTTAAACATCCATAATTTGTTTCGTTAGCGTAAGTATTAAGACTTTTTATATTGAAAGAGACCACTTTATGTTTTATTTCATACAAAACAGAGCTTTGATATAGTTTTTAAGACAACTAAACTAATTTGTTTCAAAAATGATCTCCTTTCTTATTTTCAAAATATTCATATTTTTCTCAAAGACACCAGATGATAAATATACAGGAAAGAAAGGCTGTTGAATTAATCTATTGCTTTGATCACAATACATTTCAGTTGTGTATAATTGTCAATTGTTGCTGTTCTCTTTCCAATTAGTGGCGCTGTCACTCCTTAATTCTTACTGGGTGCCACCGATGAGAAAAACAAAAGGAAAAGAATGAATGAACTAATATAGATGTAATGCATAATTTTTGTTAATGTTTGTAATAAGAGCTTCCTGCTGCGGTAGTTTTTTATGTTCATTTTTCACGATATCCATAATAAAATTTCACACACTCAATAATGTCATTGTTCATATCTGTTACCTCCCTGAAAAATTGTATATAAGTAATTTGGTATGAGTTTATTTCATCGTTCCATTCATTCATAATTTTTGTATTCTCTTGATTCATCTTAAGCTTGCCACGTACGGTCTTTTCATTTTTATTTTTCAAGGTGGTAGGTTGCTTTTGTCATTTCTTGACATTAGAAGTCATTATAGAATATACATAAATAAGCATCACAATTATTATATTGCTGATGGCTCGTCGTCGATCTTTACTTCACCTCATCTTCATTCTATTCAATTTTCACACACACACACATTCATTCTGTTCCAATTAATGACGTATCGAGCGTATGAGTGTGGGGTGGGGTATGTGCATCAAAAGACTATTTACACCCAAACTCGCGTTTACAGCTTTAAGACAAAAACGATTAACGAAGTGTTCATAACAGGCCGATCATCACAACTTGATGATTTCAATATCTACTTATTGATTATTATAATCAAATATAAATTCAGGTATTATCTGATCACGAGACATAAGTATTAGTTATTCATTTATTTATTCATAGATATGAGTGATACTTATTGATTATAATATATTAATTGCATAAAGCGAACAGTTTCCTAATGATCAACACTTTCCTCGTAGTTCTTATATATTTAGGTGCAAATGCATTACTACGTCGTCGCATTAATGGAATAAACCAATGTAATAATTGCTACGGCTAGTTCTTGTTACTTAACAAACTCATACATAGGTTTTTATTTTTAATTATTAGAATTGCAAGATAAACCAATATTATACATAAGTCCAGCGAGTTTTTTGCTTGAAAATAATTTTATTCTAGTTCTACCTGTTTGTATTCCATATTCTATTTTCAATTTTTCTAAATGTGTTATGTTTTTCGTTGTTTTTTTAGTTATTTTAATATCTCTATTTTTTTCATCATTTTATGTGCTTTGAATATGTAACAGAGAGTCTTGATGATAGTTTTAATATTTTAATAAATAACACAAAATGTTTCAGTGAAATTAATGATAAACATTTTTATTAATTCAAATCAAACTACATTTATTTTATATTTTCCCGTTATTTAGTTGTTGACTTCATTGGTTGCTGAAAAACAAGTGTTTGAAAGCAGTAGTTTGAATTTATCTCTACGCTAAGAGATAGGCCAATCAGTTTTTCAATTGATTAACCACACCCACACTCACATTCCGCATGTTGAGAAACGTAAACTGTCGGTTTGTTTTGAGCTTATTAATTAGATTTTGAAGAAATTCATTCTCTGTTAGGTTCTTTTCAAGTTTAAATTAATAAGACAATGCGAAGCGAAAGCTACCCGATGAGATTCTTGAGAAAGGTCGAATATCAGTCGTAGCTTTCGTTCTCATAATGCACACTCTAATTTTGTATATTTAGCAGGAAATATTTTTGTTATCGCCTCTTTTCAACTCTTGGACATGTTAATGTTCTAAATAGTACTAAATCATGTCTTGATTGATCATCATTTCTTAAAATTTTTCGTATTCTTCCTTTTATTGACGGCATTGCTGATGCATAGGTTACATTTTGTAAAACAAAATTCGATGATCGAGAATATAGGTTATACGAAACCTAGGATTCTTATTGGTCTCGAGCTTCTATGTGCAAGACTATATTTTGAGCGTTTTCTACTGGATAAGAATTGATTTCTTATTGATCATAAAAGACTAAACAGCGTATTTCAATGCTTTTCTGTTTACGGTCCGTTGGAGGTACATGCTCATTGACAAAACCTATGTGAGCACCAAATGGGGCAACATCGAAGTTGCTAACAAAGATGTTGCTGAGAAAAATTTCGTCCGATCGCATCTGGCTCAGATAGTATCATTTTTGCGTATCTTGAACATTATAAAAGATCTGATAGCTAGATATATTATTTTTAGAGCCTCGAACCTCTGCAATATGAACATTGTTGTCGGCATCGAATGAGCGATAGTCACAACTGGTTAAAGTCATGTTCAGTATGGAATTGGGATCCAAAGATCGCTAAACATTGATCATTTGAAAGCGACTCTGTATCATTTTTTCAGCCTCTTCTTCGTCGAGCAATTCGTTTACTTTCAAGCAAACTGCAGGTGGGTCACAGTTCACGTGTGGTCCGAGAGCAGGGTTTTTGTGGATCGAATTGCACTGATCGATGATGCGCAGCAGCCATCGAGACCGAGATATATGGTTGAAGACGATCACGCTGAAGGCACTCAGACGTTCTTTGAGCAATTCAACAATCTCTTCGTAGTAAGATCATTGTATTTTACTATTGTCATCGAACTCGTCGTATATGCATCCATTATATTTTAGCAGTTCGAAACCATTGGTGTCGAGATCGACGCTATTCCCCCTGCCTCGCAAATCTTGAATGATCATACGAACAGATTTTTCTCCAAAATTCGTATGTGCGAAGTTAAACTTAGGACTCACATCTAATCATAGAGAAGAGTCGTCCGTCGTATGACTAAAAAGCTTGATTTCTCCGGTGATATCGACGGCCAACTGTAACTCAAAATGATTCACACAGACAGAATAGGTGCGTTTAGCAAAAGAGAAAATGAAACAAAACTGATTCTATTACTTGTTATCTTATCGACAATAAAAACCCTTTGAGATGTGAGAAAAAATAGTCCCTTACAGTCACTACAAGTTTTTCTTTCGTTCGATCACTGTCTCATGTCATTAGCGTGAGAGACAGGTCGCAGATTTTGTTATCATGTGATGCGGAACAAGAAGAAAAGAGAGGAATCAAAAGACGACAGATGAATAGCTCGTTTGCGAATAGCAACATACGAGAATGATAAATCAGTGTTGTGCTGATTTTCGTATATGAGCTAACGAATGACCCATAATAGATGGTCAGTCCGCTCATCAGATATGTATAGCTTGTTTAATAATTTCGCTACGATACTATTGATAGCTCTTAGAGAATTATTAAACACTAGTTTATATTCTAAGAGTAAAGAAATTTTTGGTTGAAATTTGATTATTGCTAATGATATTTTAATAAGCATCTTGAATTTAAACCAATAGCGATTACTGGTATATTTAGATATAGAGAAGCTGGGTGTAACTGTGACTGGATTTGTGAGTGAGGAAATGAACTACACCCACAACCACACCCTTCAATGATTATGCCTTATCTTCATTTCATATTGCAACAACGAGCGTTTTAAGTGCACAAAAGATGACTCATACATCATATACTTTTATTTATTTTTTAATTGATTATGTAAAAATTGTGTTATGTGAAAACGTTTTATGCAAAAGAATTAGTATGGGAACAAAACTATATGCCTACATCGCCATTAAAAATTAGAGACTTTTACTCAAGAGGATACACTACCTCAGGGTAGTGAACTATATATCCTTGTATAATATGTAGATCGCTAGTGCATAAAACTGTTACTGACGACACATATGTTTAAGTACAAAGAATACGAAAAAATCCTGTTTGAGTATAATTAAGGATATTTTCTACTAACGAAATTTTGAAACCGTAAACTTAAGGATTTCGCTGTCAAAAGATTAAAAATGCTGCCTGAAAAGAAGTAACCTTGAGAATTGCGTCAAAAGTTGTGTGAAAAAGAAAAAGAAAAGGAAAATATCCATAGTGAGTGTTTTAACGTCTAAAAATATTTGGTTCACTCCCCCCCCCCCCCCCCCTTCACTCTGTACAGATTCGTCCAGTTTTGATGCCTCTGCCCATGCTATACCTGAACATTCTTTATGGACGATCTTTTAGGATGTCGGCGTGAGAAGAAGATAAATAGATGCACAACCAAACCCTTCAACAGTAATTTAGTACTTGATAACAATCTTTTCTAAGTCACTTACTGTGATTACACACATGCATTATCAAAGTGATGATAAGATCTTGTTGATATTAGCACAATGACTATTGACTCAAGAGAAGTCACAAGAGTTTTTTTTTCGTGTATAACAGATGACGATGATATTTTCTTTCGTAATAGTTGCTACATGGGTTTTTGCCGTTCAATGTGTAATCACTCGAACTCCGAGTGGTGATATCCTTGGTTTCACATCTGATGGAGTCGATATTTACTTGGGCATTCGTTATGCAGAATTTTCGGAGCGCTGGACACCAGCTAAACTACCTTCTTCGTGGACAGGAATACAAAATGCAACAACGTTTGGTTCGATCTGCCACCAGTTTGGTCCCTACAATCAACCATTTCAGTTTAAAGAAAGTGAACATTGTCTCTTTTTAAATTTGTGGGTACCGACTACAAGAAATGCGTCGCTATTACCAGTACGTTTATGGTTACATGGTGGCGGTTATACTGCTGGTAGCAGTAATGATTATGACGCTCGAAATCTTGCTAATCTTTCTCAATCAATTATTGTCACAATCAATTATCGTCTTGGTATATTTGGTTTTTTTCCATTACCAGCTGTTGAAGAAAGAAATTTCGGTTGGCTTGATCAACAATTAGCTTTACAATGGGTTCAAGAGAATATTGCATCATTCGGTGGTGACAAAACGAACGTTATGTTATTCGGTCAATCAGCCGGTGGTGGTTCTACTATTGCACATTTACTGATACAATCGAGTTGGTCACTCTATTCGTCAGCTATTCTACAATCAAGTGGACCTTTTCGCTATGACACTTGTCAAGAAAGAGAACAGATAAATTTAGAACTACTCGAAAAATCTTTTTCCGAATGTCAATCGAATATTAATTGTTTTCGTCAATTAAACGCATCACTATTCTATGAAAAACTTACAGTGAACTGGATAACATTATGGCCTTGTATTGGTGAACGTTCACAACTCAAGGAACAACCGTTAGCATTATTTCGAAAAGGTGATTTCAATAAGAAAGCATCAATCATAGGTGGTATGAATACAAATGAAGGTCAGACTAGTGTATTGACGTTCAATCAATTTAATATGGCTATCAATTCATCTCAGTATCATCCTTGGGCTATACAGTACAGAATACCTGATAACCTGACAGAATTGTATGATCCGACAACAACCGATAAAGATTATTTTACTGCTCTAACTTGGCTATTCGGCGATTATTACATTCACTGTCCTACTGTTTTTCTTTTCAATTATCTTGCTGTTTGGTCGTCATCAATTTACGCCTATTTCTTTGTACACGCCACCGAAAACTGGGCATTCACACCGTTTCATTTCAATGCTTCTCACCTTACGGAAATACCCTATGTATTTAACAATGATTTTGCTGCTACTCGATTTACACCAGCCGAAACTAATCTATCTTTGAAAATCATTCGTTATTTTACAGCGTTTCATTTGAAAGAGCAACCTTGGTTGTCATATAAAATCAATAAAACTGTAGTCGTATTCAATATAAGTAATAATGATATAATTCATACTCAGTCTGGTTTCGATCAACGACTGTTCGAACGATGTCCAGTCATTCTGAAATATGTTGATAGTGATAATTGTCATGCATATCTAACTGAACAAGAATGTGTCAATTTAGAATATTGCCGTTGGACAGATAATCATTGTGATTTTTCTTCGACTTCGTCAGCTTCGTTTCAAATTCACAATTCGTTTTTATTTCTTATCATAATTTATGCCTTGTATTTGATAAAAATATATTAAGAAACATTAACATAATAAATCATAAAACAAAAGAATTTTTACATTTATTTCTGTTTGAATAAATCGAAAATATCTAGACCTAATAGTATCAATAATTTGATATTGATTTTATTCAAACTTTTCAGCACCAACTATATACATAGATTGCAATTGTTTTTTTTTCTATCTGAATTGATTATCATTTTTAGTGATATCTGAATGAAACATCCGTCGTTACCGATTAGAGTTCGTATAGATGTTCTTCAATTAAGGATCATTGATACGGTTCTGACTATAAATCAAGCACATTTGAAATAATGATGTTAACATTTGCAAATAAATAATATGGGATATCAGTGTGTGTAGAAGTTTATACGATGTATATGGATAAGTATGGTATATAAGATGTATACGATGCATTAGTGTATGTAAAGGTGAATAAAGGTGTTCAGGATATATCGAGTCCATATTTTGTTGCAGTTTCTAGGACATTGTTTTGAATTTCTAGAATAGTGTTAGAGTTGTGTATGACTGAGATGCAGTAATAAATGGAAAGGATGCAAATATTGGATGGGATGGTATCATTAGCTGCAGAATTTGTGCAGATAGATATGTGAAGATTCGGTGGCATCCACTCCGAGCAGGATCCCCGATGTTTATGAGGATCGAAACCTTTTTAATAGCAACATTTTAATTGATAGTTTGATATAAAATTTTTATTTTGTTGTATAATATAAATATATAGAAGAATTTTAATTGTTATCTCTGGAAAATCTTTTGTTAATAAATACTTCCATATTGAGTGATAGTCAATAATAATATTCGTTTATATGTCATAATAGTCTTAATTTTTCTTGCGATGAAACTATTTATTGAAGATATTTCGAAATCTCTATAGAAAATATGAACCGTAATAAAACAAAATCTAATCAATATATCACACATATAAAGATGTTCATATTTCAAAAGAAAATTGATAATTTTGTTAATATAATAAACATAATTATTTTTCTGACCAAATTACACTCAAAAAAAAATGTAGATAGATCGCAAAAGTCGTATCAATCGAAATCGAATAGATGTCACTGTTCTATGTTGTAGAAAATTTGAACTTCGAGATTTGTTATTACGTTGACCAACGAGTTCAATTGTCTAACTAAATTTAAACTAATAACAACCAATTTTCTTTTATAGAGACACCACCAGTTAATATTCATATTTTTCAAACAATAAAACAATTTTATTGTATTATATTCAATCAACAATGTCATCAACTAATCTTGCTAGTGGAAATTTTGGTGATATAAAAGGTTTTCTATATGCTTGGTTAGGTAAACAAAATAAACTTCCGTCATATGAAGTTTCTCAACAAGGTACTAAACAAAGAATACGATTTAAATGTGAAGTAAGTGATAACTTAGTAGTTTTTTTTTTCCAAAATTTTCTTGGATTTATTTCAGCTAACAGTACCATCATATTCTTATACTGCCATTGGAAATTCAACAAATAAAAAAGATGCACAAACAAATGCTGCTATTGATTTTTGTCAATATTTGGTATGTTAAATAGGTTTTTTTTTTCATTTTCGATATGAAATTATTAATTTAGGTTCGTGAAGGAAAAATGCCCGAAAATGAACTTGAACCATATCTAGTAAAGTGTCTTTTTTTTTGTTTATTAATTAAATTAATAAAATTTTCCTATAGCCATCAAAGAATTCATCAGTTCTTACAACACAATCACTTGGAACTTTACCAGCTGGTCTTGTACCACCACATATGTTGCAACGTAACACTACAGCAAGTTAGTTATATAAGTTTATATGTATCTAGAATGAAAAGCGAGATCACAACAGATGAAAGATATTAAGAATGAGTTCGCAAGCAAAGTACATGAACTCGGATTTATACTATTTTTACAGTAAAGACAGGATTCTTAATAAAAGCTATCATTCTTCAGCTTTGTCTTTAACGGACATCTTATGATCAATCTAATTTTGCTGATGCTTCTAAATTAATTATTTTGATAGATCTAACGAGAGCGATTCCTAATAAAAATACAAACGTTTTTTTAGCAAAGTTTCTTGGTCTGTTTTGTAAACTATATTCGTAATTCCTTTGGAATAAAGAACATATATGTTTTGATCATCAGTCATTCAGAAGAGAATAGATTTGAATTAAAAAATAGATATGTTATCTTAGCACAAAGAATCAAAATATTTTCCAAGTAGAAAAGAATCTTCTTGTTCTTCTACAAATTTTATCTGAATTTAATTCTCTCGCCATTGATCATTTCAATTCCAATGCTCTAATTCTTATTTTTTTCTAAAATTGAATCGTTTTATTTTTATTGTGTAGACGAAGTTGGTCCACCACCTACTCTACTTCCATATCAACCAGGACCACCATCTCATTATCTTGAACATATTCGTTCAGATCGTAAAATGCTTGAAGAAGTTTGTAATAATGATTTTAATTAAAAACTCTTTCTTATAATTTTTTGTTTGTTTTGTTTAGCAAGAAGAAACTGATACAAATGCATCAATACATGGAAATTGGACGATTGAAAATGCTAAAGGTCGTCTTCATCAATATTTACAAAAAAATAATCTTTCACAAGAATATAAATATACATCAAGTGGACCAGATAATCTTCGGTTTGTTTAATTTTGATAGGAGAGAAAAAGAAAAATTTTCTCTGGAAAAGTGATTAATGTCCATACTTCGATAATCTCTAAAAGAATCTTAATAAAACAGATCAATCGATCTTGCTTTATGTTCAAATAAATGAACAAAAAACAATTTCATAAGTTAGACTGATTGATCGAAAATTCGAAAATGATAAACAAAAACATAAATAAATGAAGAATGGCATTAGTCACTTTTCCTTCCATTATAGAGATTTTTCAATGATCAAACATATTCTAGAACATTTTTTGCTGAATTATCCGTTTATATACGAGAACGTAATCAAAGTAAGTCAATAATTGAAACAAAAAAGAAAAAAGAAGAATGGATTTTATTTTTCTAGCAATTCATGCACGAGAAAATGGATCAACAAAACAAATTGCTTCAAAAAGTTGTGCACTTGTACTTGTTCGACAACTTTATCATTTAAAAATTATTGAACCATTTACTGGAGAAAAAAAGAAAAAACAAATTGAGAAAGTAAATTCAACTAATTTCTTTTTAAAACTACTCAAATACCTTTTTGTCGGACATATTTCTCAATAAAAAAAAAATACTTTTGAAGAATTACATTAGCAATCTGTGATATAGCCTAAATTGAGTGAACATATTTTAACCATCAGAAATATGCAAAAATATTTTTCTATTTCGATCAATTTCTACATAAACAAACAAATTTATAAATTCAAACAACACTCACAGCAAACATTATTTGCAGATTACTGAAAATAAAATTCAATTTTTCTAGCAAAAACATTGTCACATTTATATTAGAAAAGTTTCTCAATTTTTTCTACCACTGAGGTCAACTACACTCACAATAACTATTAATCAATGTGATAACTATGAAATTTCATGAGAAATTAAAGTTGATACTATGTTTTCGAAAACAAACAAATTTATTTTGTTTCCTGAAGGTTATACAGATTTTCTTTTAGATTTGAAAGTTTTAGCTATTGAATTAGTCATAAAATCAATTTTTGTTTTAAGTTCATTTTTTTTATTTGTGCAAGTTGTTTCAGAAATTTGAACTCTATCGTCAAAAAAAAACATCTCAATGTATCGCAGAAAACAATCAAGTTTTTTTTTTTGGATACTTTATATTTTTATTACATAAAATATTCACAAAATTAGTAGAAAATTCTAGGCAAATTAAAGAAAGAAGTACTTTACAAACTATTATCATCTTGAGAAAATATAGGTCTGATAGATTATCCGAAATGAGAGAAATGTATAATCCAAATTTCGTTAAGATTGAAGAAAGCTTCAGTGAAAATTTCTAAAACAGAAGGCCATAATTCCTCTTCTTCATTTTTCACGTCACTATTGAAGGTGCACTATATTTCACTTTCGAAAAAAAAAAAGAGAAGTTTATTAATAACCATATAATATATCCATCTATATTAAATCATTTTTAACATTTTTTTATTATATGTTGACAAAATTAATTCTCTATGTAGACAACACCATTTCGTGTTACTGTTAGTAATGATATTGTCACAGAACTTGATGAAGTTATTAAATTATTTAATATTCAACCAGTTATGGTATGATAATAAATTGATTTTGAATCAAATAAAAAAAAAAAAGAAAACAATGAATTATTTATAGATAAATGAACAACAAACAAATAGTTCATTATTAAATCCTCAAATTTTAGAACGTTTCCCTCCAAGTGAACGTCGTACAACATCATCTATAATTCAATGGGTACCACCAATACCAAATTGGAATCCATGGATAGCATCAAATATTGATGAAGGTCCATTAGCAACAGCTACAATGGAATCAATTAGTGAAAATTTACGTCATGGAGAACAATCTAAAATAGAAAATGAATTAAAATGTCGTCTTCAAGAACGTCAAAATTTACCTGTTTTTACTTATCGACAACAAATACTTGAACAAATAAAAAGAAATAATGTTATTCTTATTCGTGGAGCAACTGGATGTGGAAAAACAACACAAGTTAGTTCAATTTAAATAATTTAAAAGGTTTTCTATAAAAAAAAAAAAAATTTTTTGTTTAATTTTTTAGATTCCTCAATATATAATTGATGATGCTATTCAACATAATCAAGGTGCTTATTGTAATGTTGTTGTTACTCAACCACGTCGAATAAGTGCTATTTCAATTGCTGAACGTGTTTCTTGGGGTTTGTTTATTTCGATTTTTATTTTTTGTTTCAATTTAAATCTTTTTTAGAACGATGTGAAGATTTGGGTAATTCATGTGGTTATAGTGTTCGTTTTGAATCAATTCTTCCTCGACCATATGGTTCATTACTTTTTTGTACTGTTGGTGTTCTTTTAAGAAAACTTGAAAGTGGTTTAAGAGGAATATCTCATGTTATTGTTGATGAAATTCGTAAGTATTATCTTTTCAAAAGAATAAATTAACATAAGTGATTATTCAAATTGAGAAAGCATTTCTAATCTTCATAATTCTGGACAAAAAAACTAATAATTGATTTTAGACATTTTTTAATAAGAGTAAACATCAATTATTTAGTCAACTTTTCTTCATATTTATTAGTATGCTATTCAATAAAATGTTCAGAAGTATTATGAGATCATTAAGATTAAAGGATGACTGCGTTTAGGATAGCACTGAAAATGTCTCATAGTGATATAAATATTTGTAATTTGAGAGATATATAATATTGTTTATATAGATGAACGGGATATAAATACAGACTTTTTATTGGTTTTACTTCGTGATATGCTTAATGCTTATCCTCAATTGAAAGTTATTCTTATGTCTGGTATGTTTAAAATAATTAGAATAAATATTTATCAGAACTTTATTATTATTATTTAGCAACAATTGATGTAACATTATTTCGTCAATATTTTTTTAATTGTTCAATAGTAGAAATTGAAGGACGAACATTTGATGTTCGAGAATATTTTCTTGAAGATATTATTCAATTACTTAATTTTCAACCAATGAATTCATCATTAACAAGTCGAAAACAAAATAATAAAAATCGACAATTACAAGATGATGATGATGATCTTGGATATGAAGATTCACAAGCAGATGATATTGAGGTTTTTCAGTTTTTTATTTTTTTCGTCTTACATATTTCTTTTCCAGGATAATCATTCTGATTATTAGAAACAATAACTTTCATGAATTTAAAAAGATTTAATCTATCAAAATTGATGGTCGATTTTTTGAATCATCATTCGAAATTAAGTTCTGTCAATCAATTAGATTGTATAGAACAACATGTTTCTAGAATAGATTGCAAGTTACAATGATCATATCTAGTTGTTCAAATTTAAGAAAAATACATTTCATATATTATTTGATATATTTTCAAAAATTACACAATGAGAGAGATCATGAAACAAAAACTAAATAAGTTCGTTTTGAATATTTTCAACAAGAATATAAAATATAGTATTTAATTTTTTAAAACTTCTTAGAGAATACTATTTTCTAGATGTGATTTTTTTTCTTTAACTCACGTAGACATTATTCATTTTGCACTTCAACAGAATTCAGACTATATGTGCTAGTGAAAAAAAACAGCAATATTAGTTTCCAGTAGTGTCAATAAGTTTCGAGATATGTTGCACGACCTCTAATATCCTTGCTCTTGGAAAAGTTATTCCTTTTTTTAATTCATTAATACTTCGTTTAATCTGCACATTTGTATGTTCGACAACTTTGTTGTTTACGATAAAAAATAAAAGAATTAATTTTACTTCGAAAATTGTAAGAGTATATATTATAGTGAAAAATCGTCTTTCCTCTATCGATTTCTACCTTTATGGTTAGTTTACAGAGATGTCCATCGCGGCTGAAAATCTGCCGCTGCCGCGCCACGGCCTTAGAAAAAAAAAGCTGCCGCGCCGCGACGGCTTATAAAAGAAACGCTGCCGCGATGAATTATAAAATAAACGTGCCGCTGCCGCGACGGTTTTCAAAAAAGTGTTTCTAATTTCACTGCTGTGACTATATTTGACCAGAGATATGGGTACTAGTCCATCAGATTTATTCAATATCAGGGCGTTTCATTTGTAAATCCTGAAATTCTATTAAATTCATACAGTTTTTCAATGTCCTCCAAAAAAAATCCTGCCGCTGCCGCGATGGTTTTTTAAAAAACCTGCCGCCATCGCCATCGCGGCAGCGGCAGCGGCAGCGCCGCGATGGACATCTCTGTTAGTTTATAACTGACTATTAATTGAAAAAGATAAAATAGGAAATGTATTTATCATAAGAATGAATTTTTCATACGTACTTTTTTTCTTTTTACAGGATGTTAATTGTAATACAATATGTGGTCAAGAATATTCTCCTCAAACAGCAGCAGCCATGAGTCAATTAAGTGAAAAATCTCTTTCATTTGAATTAATTGAAGTAAGAAAATAAAATTTAAAATAAATTCTATAAAAAAACTTATATTTAAGGCATTAATAACTTATATCTGTAGTTTGGGTGATGATGGAGCAATATTAATATTTTTACCTGGATGGAATTTAATTCAAGCATTACTTAAATATTTTCAACAACATCCAAGATTTGGTAAATTTTCCTATTTAAATTTATTAAATATTTAAATAAAAAAAAAGAGAAAAATATTTAATTAGGTTCATCAGGATTTCGATTTCTTCCATTACATTCTCAATTACCTCGTGAAGAACAACATCGAGTATTTGAACATGTTCCATCTGGTGTTAAAAAAATAATTTTATCAACAAATATAGCTGAATCAAGTGTAACTATTGATGATATTATTTATGTTATTGATAGTTGTAAAGTAAAACAAAAATTATTTTCATCACATAATAATATGACAAATTATGTTACGATTTGGGCATCAAAAACAAATTTAACACAAAGACGTGGTCGTGCTGGTCGAACAAGATCTGGTTGTTGTTTTTATTTATGTTCAAAATCACGTTATGAACATTTAGATAATTATTTATTACCAGAAATATTTCGTACACCATTACATGAACTTGCATTAGCTATTAAATTATTAAAATTAGGTGATATTAAATTATTTTTATCTAAAGCTATTGAACAACCACCAATGGATGCTGTTGCTGAAGCTGAATTTACTCTTAAACGTAAATTTTCTTTTTTTTTTTTATTTAAAATGAAAATTAACAAAAAAAATATGAAAATTTAGAAATGCAAGCAATTGATGAAAATGATGAATTAACACCATTAGGAAAAATTTTAGCACGATTACCAATTGATCCAAAAATTGGTAAAATGATTATATTAGGTTGTATTTTTTGGTAAGTTATTTTAATTTAATCCATATATAACAACCACTTGTTATTAATGTTCGATGTTGATTAAATTCTTCTTCATTATTAATATTTAATTTATGTGGAGGTTTACCACTAACAACATAAAAATAATCATTTATATCTCGACATGGTGGAAGAATATTTTCAATTGTTTTTCGAAAATTTTCTAATGTTATTGGATTTTCATTGATTGTTACTTCATAATATTTACCATAGAGAAAAGATATACGAAATCTTGCCATATTTTCAAATGTATTCTGTTAAAAGAAAAAAAAAAATTTTTTTCGTTTTCTTATGTCAATAGTAAACATTATTTTTTTTCAATGTATTCTCATCATAAAAATTTAAAGTCAATAGTCAATTTAATTTATAAAAAAAAAACAAATGTTTTAGTGTTGGTGATGCCGCTTGTACAATAGCATCAGCAACTAGTTTTCCTGAACCATTTCTACATGATGGAAAACATTTACGTCATATGCATCGAAATCTTGCTGGAAATCGTTTTTCTGATCATGTTGCTTTACTTAATGCATTTCAACAATATGAAAGAGAAAAGTATTGTTTTTTTAAGAAGAAGAAGAAACAAAAATTCCTTTTTTTGTTTTTTGTAGAAATCGTAATGGTGAACGTGGTGAAATGGATTATTGTGAACGTAAATGTCTTAATTTATCAACAATGCGAATGACTTATGAAGCACGAG